TTATTAGAAACACCTGTATCATATTAACGCTTAAAGTGTCTCCTGAGAGTCATTTTAGGCTTTAAAACACCAACACGCAGCCTTTGACCCCCCAGGACAACAAAGCAGTCGAGGGTAAGTTGTAAATATATTTAAATATATTATAAATATATGTAAATATATTATAAATGGTTGTTAACTGAGAGAGACTCACACAAACACGCCACAGTTTCGACTACAGTTAAACATATCTTTCTCTGCACGTTCAACTATAAACGTGGCAGCATTTTAAAAGTATTTTTCCAACATGTTTTATTAAATTTTCCTAATTTCACAAGTAAAATCTTTTTTTAAAAAAAAACAACAAATTAAACTACAAACTACACCAGCACGCTGCTCCCTATTAAACGCTTTTATTTCCCGCGCAGCTTTAAAGATAACGCGGGAATATAAGTGTATATTCTACACGTGTTTATAATGTTTTTAGAGTTGAAACATAAATGAACTGTGAGCAGCCACAGTTAGCTCCAGCCCGCCCGGTTACCGACGGTACGCGGCCGAAGCTACCTTTTCCCGGTCGATGGGCTTCTCCGGCTCCTTCTTGATCTCCTCCTGAGTGTTCCACGACTCCAGAGCCATCGTGTTTGTGTTAAAACGCGGTTGTTGTGTCGGGACTGCTGCTGCTTTGCTCGGGTGTTTTTTCTCGGAGCTGCAGCAACGAATGGAAAACGAGGTCGGTTCCGGTTCCGGTGTGTCTCTTGAGACGTCAGTTTTAGTGTCGTGGGCACAGTTTCGCCCCCTGGTGTTCAGGAGTGAGTGCTTCAGTCAAAGTCAAAGTCAAAGTCAAGGCTTTATATTTGCTATACATGCAATAATAATAAAAAAAAATAGTAGTAAGTATAAAAACAAATAATAAAATAAATAAATAGTGCACAGTTCTAACTAATTAAGTGAATAGAGAGGGGCATGAAGTAAACAGTCAACAGACAAGGGCTCTTGAGGTATTTACAGAAAGTTAAGGTGAGGTAGGATAAGATAAGATAAGATATTCCTTTATTTATTTATCCCCCTTAGGAGAGATTCAGGTTGACACAGCAGCAATAGGGCAAAGTAGTGCAAAAAACAGAGAACAAAGAATATCACCAATAAAAATGTATTACTTATCATTCATTAATCATTAGAAGATACTAACACTGTACAATGCAACAAGGTATATACACCTATTCTGCTTTGTTCATTAGGCACATGGAGTGCAAAATATAAGCAGAAAATTCAAACTTGACTAAAACATAAAAAAACTGAAAACTAAACTAAAAAATTTCCCTTTATTTATTTATCCCCTTAGGAGAGATTCAGGGTTGACACAGCAGCATCAAGGGCGAACAGTAGTGCAAACAAACGAGAACAGAAGCAATATCACAGGTAAAAAAATTACTAATATACATGCTCAGAGACGATACAGATATTCCTCTTATCTTGTCCCACAGCTGGGCGAAACGATTCCGACTGTTACAGCAGCCAAAGTGGAGCTAGAGAAGAACGAAACAGTATACCAAACCAGTAAGCAGTAGGGAAATATTATAATATGAATATAACTCCTAAATGTACACAGAAAAAAAACAGTAAAGATCCAACAACAGTAACACGCAAATAGTAAGGCAGCAGTTTTGCGACTGGGCAATGGGAGATCCTCCCACAGCTGAATACGTGTCAGATCAATATGTGAGCAAAGATATAAAACTATGAAATGAAAGTATATAGATTATGTTGTTGTTAATTAGGACATGAGCTGCAAAATATAAGCAGAAATTAAACTTGACTAAAAACTCAACACAACCTACAACTCAAATAAAACTAACTAAAACTGACTACGTGGAAATTAAATTAATAAATATAGAGCAAAAGGAGATCTGTGCGCTGTACGGTAGGGACCCTAACCCCGTTAGCTGCATAAGCCAAATCAATATAGATTTATCATTACACAGCACAAGCTTAGAGATGAGTTAACAATGCAATCCACTTAAAGTTGCAGTAGGTGATTTAAACAATATTATATCTTGTTATATGTTCAGACTCTGTTACTATATACTGAACAGTAGTATTAAAAATGATCACCTCACACATGGCAATGTCTACCAACGCACATCCACATCATTCTCACAGCTTTACTTTTCGAGTACTGCTTCACTGCAAAGACGGATTTAATCCTCCAGGCTTTGCATTTAAAAACCACCTGAAATCAACAGTATTTTGCTTATTCCTTCTTCTTTATGCTCGTCCTGACTGGAGCGGCGGCATGCTCTTACTGGAAAACAGTCATGGGTGCACTTTTAATCACCAATTTTGCTTCCTTTTACTACCCTTTCAATGTTATTCCAGTGTAAGAACAAAAAGAGCTGCTGCCGAGCTCCACACACCGTTACCAGGACGTCTCGCAGTGGTGCAGACTTTCATACAGTAAGGTAGCTGAATCAGGATCCAGTCGGCCAAGTCCACTAGAACACCCCCCGAGACGTGCTATTCAGTCACATCTGCTCCGTCCCCTCACGTCATGTACCAGGTGTCGTCGGCTCTTTGTGGCTAACCATATATGATGAGTGTGTACAGTCGCGTGTGCACTTGTACCAACAGTGCCGTCGCGATCCGCGACACGCCGCGCCACCTCTGCGGCGCTGCCTGGCTGGCTCTGATCGGAAGCTACGTCTAACAATCAGCGCCCTCTCATTTTCCCTCTCCTCTCTCCATCTCTCTTCTCTGTCTTTTCTCCCTGCTCATTCACTGTGTGTGTGCCCCTTCCTCCTCACCCGTCCCTCCCTTCACCCCACCCCACCACACTCCATCTCTCATCAGAATCGAAACGGCATGGCACCGGCTTGAAACAATCTGCCAAGCGCTTTGGGCAGGTTGTTTGTTTTCTTTTTTTTAGACCCTGTCCTGACTGACAGCATAAACAGTGGGGGTCTTTGAGTCCGTCCTGACAGCTGATATCCAGTTCATCTGATAAGCATCACGAACTAACGCCTGTCCCGCTGTTAATTCCTCTAAATGCACTCCATTAGAATCACCGACCAACGCCCTCACTGTCTCAACCCCAGGGATGTTTTTCTGCCCCCACAAGACTCCCTGTTACACGCAGATACAAAGGTCTGCCAGCAGTTAAGATCTATTTACATACTTTCCCTCACTGATATAGGCTTCTACCACGGCGCGGCGACCGCTACCAGCCTCTTTCACATCCCAAAGTATACTGTACCCATCATAACACGGTAGCGTCAAGCACGAGCAAAACAGATTATGTCAACAGCTTCCTCTCGAAAGTTTTCATTTCAGTTTTGTGTAAACGCAGGAAGTTGGTTTTTTGCCTCCGCCACACTGGTAGACAAAGCATGGGAAAGCTCATCGGTCAGCGCCATCTGCCACACAGGAGCTGCACTGTCCCTGCCCATGCTGGACAGCTGCAAGTGACAATGGCCTGGGCTCTGAGAAGTCACCTTTCTACCTGTGTCTGTTACACCACACACACACACACACACACAAACACACACCTTTTCACTAACAAATGCAACTTTTCGGTTCCTTCACCCTCTGTCCGATCCACACTCGCATGCGCCAGATCTGTGAGCCAACACATGGTAAACCATTAATATCCACCAGATTGGAAGCTGAAATGCAACACACTTTGCAAACCCTCCCTTCACTATCCCAACATGAATACTGGTGTCGAGCGTAAATTAATTAAAGGAGCACTCCACTGATTTTACATGTCAGACAGTGAAAACAGTTGCATAATCTCCTCTGTGGCTCTAAAATAAACATACCGATAATGTCATCATGGTTATCTTGGCTTGCTTGCCTCAGCCGTGTGGTGGTGGTACTTTGAGCTGAACTGACTGACCGACATTGCCATCCCTTGAGCGACATGGCTCCAGAGGTGTTTTGTTTGAATAAAGTGGGTATTTAAGAGGCATTAAAGGTGTAATAACGTATAGCAATTGTGTGATCTACTACTTTTTGGAGCAGTGATTGACTTTTCTTTCATGATTTTTCCACTGACCTTTCACTCATTTTATCATCTGCTTAAATAAAAATCAATCTCATTAGTATTTTGAACATCCATAGAGTGAAGACAGTACAGAGTAACAGTGATTTATTATCAGTGAAATCAAAAAATTAAATGAAATCAAAATAACTTTATAGTATTTGTGTGACTTCTTCCTCCTAAACCTTGCACCGGCTTTGCCACTCTGACGTTTTATTTTGAAAGTCACAGGAAGTCATCTCATACTTTTTCTGGCTGACTTGAAACTGGAGGCGCATCTTTTATTTCAAGCAAAGGAAGCCGGGGCTGCAGGTTTGTGTATTGATCAGTTCATAAGCTCCAGCTTGCATTCAGTTTGATTTGATTTGAATGAATCCAGCTGTGATGTGACACTGAGCTCTCGCTGTTTGTTTCCATTTAGAGGACCATGTGGAATATTTTCCTCCAGGCAACCTGACTCTCCAGACACAAGGTGAGAAAAGTACTTTTATCTTTTTGATTTGTAAAAAAAAATCCTCAGTCAGGAATTTTAGAAAAAATCACAAAAACTATTATTATAATTTATGTTTTTCTAATTTTAGGAAGGTTTTCACTATTAGAAACATTTGCTCTTAAAGTTTATACCATGTATATGATCAATATCATATTAATACACATCTTTTAAATAGTTAGTATATTAATAAATCCATCAATCGTTGAATGAGGCTCAGTGAGGAGTGTAGTAGAGTGGGTTTGTACAGTGTGTTCATTGAGTGGGTTTAGTTCAGTACAGTCCACAGTGGGCAGAGAGGTTCATCAGTTCACATGAATGTTGGCGCTGGGCCTTCTCTCCTCCTCCTCTCAGTTTCATTCCTTTTCATCCTCTTCTTCTTTCAAAACTTCTCTTTTGTTTCAGCGCATGTGTCCGCTTTCATCTTCTGCCACTGCCTTCCTTCTCAGTTTCCATCCCTTGTTTCTGTGTCAGATGTGCAGTTTAAAGGAACCAGCCAGACCTGGTACAGAAAACAAAGTGTATGCTGGCAACTACAATCATATTATTGTATTCTTGACCTCACGTTTCTGACTGTCTCCCCAGGATGTCCTGGCCGGCTCTGTACGCACAGCTAGTCGGGGCAAACCGTCACTCCACCAGTTTGGGCAAAGTCTGGCTCTCGGTGCTGTTTATTTTCCGCGTCATGGTGCTGGTTGTTGCTGCTGAGAGCGTCTGGGGGGACGAGCAGTCTGACTTCACCTGTAACACACTACAGGTAGGGCAGCCAGTCTGTGATCAGATGATTGTGATGTCTTGTGCATCCAGAGATGTTATTATTATAATTATTAAGATGTAATTTACCTGTGCTGAAGCAGTACATGATACAGTACAGTACAGGCACTGACTCCTCGTGGGTCCATTGGAGCACTACGCCTCATATATGTGAATATTTAATAAAATAAATCTAATTACTTAATGATTTCTGTAGCACTAATTATTTCTTATACACAGAAATGTTTGCTAATTGACTTTTAAAAGATAAAATGACATAATCTTTGTACAACTCTTGTACAGTTCAGTACAATCAGGGCGTTTGCTGCTACAGTCTTATTTAGTCTGGTAGCTTATTAAATTGATGACTCTTTCTGTACTTGTGCTGCTGCTGCACTACATTTGAGTTCATTCAGATCACCTATCGAGGACTTCTTTAAAGCAACTCACTCAAGAGAAACTCTTGGAAAATTAAAGCAAATTCTATATATTGTTAGCCTGTAAAAACCAGCTGTGGCTACAGTGATCGCTGTTCACAAAAAGTGACATAGGCCATAATAATCAGTAATATAATTAACATATAACAAGCTCTTGACAGAACTGCAAGTTTTAACACATCTCTATTTATTGAAGCTAGCTGTGCTGTAACTACTGTGTATTTGGAGTAGTTTTTAATAGCAGTAAGTAAGTTTGAACACTTCTCTGTCCTCACCCTTCATCAATACTTTATATTGTTCACTGGTGATGGGATATAAGCATGTATAGGCAGGTCTGAACAACAGAGGACATCCTGAATCTGTGTGTCTGTTTTTCAGCCCGGCTGTGAAAACGTCTGCTATGATCAGTTCTTCCCCGTCTCCCACATCCGTCTCTGGTGTCTTCAGCTCGTCTTTGTCTCCACACCGACCCTCCTCGTTGCAGTGTACGTGGCCTATCGGAACCACAGCGATAAGAAGAGGCTCCTACAGGTGTGTTTAATATGTCTGCCATCCTGGTGGGACAGAAACCCACTGTTTCATGTATCATATCATCCTATGTGTCGTCTTGTCCTGTCTTGTGCCACAGGGTTCTGGTAGATCTGGTTTTCTCAGCAACAAAGGCCAGGAGGAAGAGTTGGAGAACCTGAAGAAACGGAGGCTCCCACTAGCTGGCGCCCTCTGGTGGACGTACGCCTGCAGTCTGGTGTTCAGGCTGCTGTTTGAAGGAGGCTTCATGTAAGATAAGCAGCTCTGATTTGTCATGTCACTGGTTTGGTACATTTCCTGTGTCCATACAGTGTCTTTGTGTCTCCAGGTATGCCCTCTACGTGGTGTACGATGGTTTCCAGATGCCACGGCTGGTGCAGTGCGACCAGTGGCCGTGTCCTAACCTGGTGGACTGTTTCATCTCACGCCCCACCGAGAAAACCATCTTCACTGTTTTCATGGCCACTGCCTCTTCTATCTGCATGGTCCTTAACATGGCTGAACTTGCATATCTTGTTGCCAAGGCTGTCACTAGGTAGAGGTATTAATCAGTCAGACAGTAAGGTGATTAATCAATGGATTAATTGATTAATTGTTCCATTGTTTTTTTTTTAGCAATGTTAAAATCACTAGTTGTGTTTGAGGCCTGTCAGAAATCTTAGTCCTTCATCAAAATGCAGAAAGTCCACGTATACCTTGTTCTTTCAGGAGTCTCTGTGGTCAGAAGGAGAGGAAATCCAGCAGAGAGCGGATGCACAATAAGACAAACCAGAAGTTTATAGTCTCAACCTGAGGAAGCAGCTGAAAAAGGTGGATGATACATGCAGAAGAAGGACTTTCCAAAGACTTGAAACACTTTTAAAGCTGCATAATTACAAGTTGTACCCGTGAATGCGTGCGTAAATACAACATTTTCTATGATACCCGAGGTGTTATAACGTACCAGTGGGTGGAGAGGATGGAGTCAGTGTCAGCAACTCTGTATTTTTACATGTTATGTAATGTAATGTTTTGAGTTTTGAGTATAACTTTTGTATATTTTAATGTAACAGGCCAAAACAGCCAGAGTATAACCATGCTGAGTAGGATCTTGAGCCATCTATTGGGCAACAAACATGAGGGAGGACAGAAATATGAGGACTCACTAGCAGCTACACACATGCACACAGTCAGATTGTTTCTGTTTTTCATGGATTCATTGAATAACAGTTCATTGAATATAAATACACTCACCGTTCTCACTTTATGTCCACAAATAAAGTTTCATCTTCATCTTAATTTTGAGTCAGTCTTGTTGTTTCAGTTAATAATTATAGTAATAATGCTTCTAAACACTAAACCAAAAAATGTTTAATTATAAACTAAATGCTAAGAATCAAGTGAAAGACAAAAGACACATCTGTTGAAATATTCAGTATTTTTCTGTATTTTCATTTACAACAGAGTAAATCTACTGTATTAACCTCTGTTGACCTCTGCTGGCGACCAGCAGTCACTGCAGCGCTGACAGGTCTGTACAGTCTGTATCCTCTTTCTCACACAAAACAAAGTTACAACAGAAATGTCTGCTGAAGAGGGGATGTTACCTGATTAAAAAAGAAAAAAGTACTAAAAAAAGTTTGTGGAAGCAGCTTTAATGCACCGAAGGTTTGAAACCTGCTGCCACCACAAACCAGACAAACAACTTGTAGTGATAGTTTTAAGAAACAGCTCAAAACACATTTTTATGATCTTGGTTTTGATTAATTAGAACTTTATTTCTTCTTTTTTAGCTTTACTGTTTGATATATATGAATATATTTATGGCAGTTTTTTGGTTTTATCATAATATTGTTTTTATCTTTACTAACTCGTTTTTATTACTGGTGTTACTTTATGTGTTTTTGATTAGATTTCCTCCTCTAAAGCTGAATGTTATGTATGAAAGGTGCTGTATATAAATAAAGTTTATTCTAACAACAGTCACAGTGAAATAGCTCAGTCAGTAGTACGAAGCAATCCCCTTTCATAAATCAGTTGTGTGAAGCTATAAAGCAGCAAAAGTATAGAAATAGTTTGTGGTCTTTAAAAAAAACACTTTTATTTCATTTAAGGAAGTTAATCTTTCCTGATTTGGACATATCCTGCATATTTACAGTACTTCATATAGCCTGATACTACTTCTGTGACTACCATAGAAGAACAACTAGGTACTTATTTTATTAATGCCACTACAAGCCTACAACTAAAGCAATAATAATAATACTAATAATAATAAAACAATTTTAAATAACAAACAGGCCAAATATCTTGTTTTAAACAGTTTTAAACACTTTACAGTGATGAGTCTCCTCTTGTCCCAACCTACACATTCACACACATGGACGCGCGCACACGCACACGAGCACGTACCGGG